ATTTATAACTCTGGTTCTATTTGAGCTACAAACTTCTTTTTTTTTTCATTTTAAAGCTAAAGGACTGAATTTTTATAAAAAAATATTTTTAATAAATATTATTAACAAATTCATATTGTTATTAACAATTTCATTGTTTAAATCAATTTTTAACAATGGCCCCCACCTCGTATTAAGTTTTTAGTATTTTTATCGTATTCTCCATCAAATTTTACATAAAAAACATGTTTTCAAAATATGGTACCTTTATTATTACTATTGTTAAAACATTAATTTGTATTGCGCGACACATACAAAAACGGTTTTTTGTTAATAAAAAGAAAACTATAGCTCGGATCAAAAAAAGTCAAATATATAAGTTGTAGATAATAAGAAGATCTACAATTTTTATTTTATTTATTTTTTGACATAACCTTACTTTTCAAATAAATTGAAATTTTTCAATTTATTTGAAAAGTGAGGTTATGTCAAAAAATAAATAAAATAAAAATTGTAGATCTTTTTATTATCTACAACTTTTATAAATGACTTTTTTTGATCCGAGCTATAGTTTTCTTTTTATTAACAAAAAACCGTTTTTTTATGTGTCGCGCAATACAAATTAATGTTTTAACAATAGTAATAATAAAGGTACCATATTTTGAAAACATGTTTTTTATGTAAAATTTGATGGAGAATACGATAAAAATACTAAAAACTTAATACGAGGTGGGGGCCATTGTTAAAAATTGATTTAAACAATGAAATTGTTAATAACAATATGAATTTGTTAATAATATTTATTAAAAATATTTTTTTATAAAAATTCAGTCCTTTAGCTTTAAAATGAAAAAAAAAAGAAGTTTGTAGCTCAAATAGAACCAGAGTTATAAATTTTTGAAAATGAGTCTCCAAGCCAAAAAACTCGTTATTCTCAAATTTTCGATATCTTGTATTATCGAAAATATGCGAGAGAAAAAAAATTCCTCGGACACGTATCTCTTATTTTTCGACATAGAATCCGTAAAAAAAGTTTCAGCCAAATCTGAGATGTGTCGGTCAAAAGGTGTTCGGTTTATAAAAGAATTACTCATATGCGAAAATGCAAATATAAAGTTTCTTTTTGGTAAATATATAGAAATGCAAAAGTAAAGGTACAAATACAAATGGGTACAAATATAGAATATAATATAATGTTATATAAAGTGTAGCATGGGCCGTTGGTACAAATATAAAAAGTAAGGTTTGGGACTGAGGCGCAAGATGGCGTTTTCAACACTTTTAACCGCGCTTAAACGTACGTCTGTTCTTACTACCGGCATTTAAGTTTCTAGTTATTAAAACGAATCGTTTTGTAAAAAATAGGTAAGAGTAAAAAGTAACACGGCGTTTTTAACTTACCTATTTCCAACTAAACTCCTTTTAATTAAAACAAACAAACGTTAAAAGTAGTTAATCTATAATACACAATAGAAAATTTAAATGCCGGTAGTAAGAACAGACGTACGCTTAAGCGCGGTTGAAAGTGTTAAAAACGCCATCTTGTGTCTCTGTCCCAAACCTTACTTTTTATATTTGTACCAACGGCCCATGCTACACTTTATATAACATTATATTATATTCTATATTTGTACCCACATCTTTGCATATCTATATGTGTACCAAAACGAAACCTTGTACATGCACTTTTGCATTTTTATATATGTACCAAAACAAAACTTTATATTTGTACCTTATATTAACTTTTGCATTTCTATATATGTACCAAAAAGAAACTTTATATTTGCATTTTCGCATGTATGTGTGGAATTTTTTATCTATATAAGCCTAAAATAATTTTGACGCAAACGGCGCCTCATAGCTGTTCTTGGTACTATATTGGATTTTTTTCTGTGTACTTAATTATTTTGTCATAATTTTATAGCCCCATACCGGGTTAGTAAAAGGAACCGGAACGCTTAAAATGTCTTAAAACCGTTAAAATGTAATACAAAAAACTATATACATACCTCAGGAGGAAAATAGTGCTTTTTCTCCCGCGAATAGTTTGATGCCCGACGCGAAGCGAAGGGCATTAAATATTTATTTCATTCAAAATTTATTTTACAGTCTTGATGAATATTTCTGTTTTTTTTAATCTGCTTATCTGCGCTATAAACTTGTACTATGTATATTTTTAATTCTTTAATTTTTTTTAAATATTGTGTTGTTTTTATATATACTTATTTATTACTTATTTAATATTACTTAATATTTTTACCTACATACCTACCTTATCTACTGACTTTTCATGTAACTTTAATTAATTGCAGTATTTACTGCAATTAATTAAAGTTACATGAAAAAACGTTTATTATTATTATTTAAATTTTACAACCTAAGATCCCATCTCTAGATATCATGCATAATAACAAGAGATTTCATTTGGGGGTCCAGAATACATTTTAGCATTTTAGCGTTGTAGGGCAGTATTATAGCAGTGAATTTCCCATCACTTTTTTACCATTCAAAAATGACGGTTTAAATGATAAATATTAAAAATAAAAAATTACGGGGTTATAGTGGTTTTTAAGGCTTATATTATTAAAACTTACTTGGTACAACCCTGGTTCAGTATTAATTAAAACTAAATGGATACTTAAAATTGGTGAACCGCGTGTCATGAGCGATCTGCAGAGGCTTTAGGTACATTAATAACAGGGTTAGTTCTGCATTGCCACCACAAAGTATGATTCAACGGGACCTGCTCTTCTCGCTGCCATATTTTAAACAGGATTCGCGAAAGTAAGATTAGAAGAATGAAAATTTACCTACTTGAGTGACATTTTATTTGACGGAATTACACTCGAGTAGCTCAACGGAATTATACTCGAGCGCCTCTTTACTTCCATCCTATTTATTTTTAGAAAAATCACTCTTTTATTGTCTTCAAATTCTTTCGTGGTTTTCGTGACAGATTTGTTTCTTTAATTATGATGTATTTAGTGTATAGTGTATATGATGTATTTAGTGCATAGTGTATATTCAAGGGCGTCGCCAGCCAATGGGCTATATGATTTATGTGACAAGAGGTAAATCACTGATTTAAAAAAAAAAATCGTCGCTAAGAGAATTTATTGATAGGGATATTTCTTAACGATAAGGATTTTTCCTTATTGATAAGAATTGGATGGAAAATAAATAAAATCTGTAAAGTTTAAACTAAAGCGCCGGCGTACTCTGCATAAATTTGCCCATTCAGGGAAAGGAAAATGAAAAAGTAACCATTTTTTAATAAGCGTTTGCATAAAGAACGTTTGTTTTATGGGCTAATATATGCATCATTTTAAAAAGTTAATTATTTTATGACGCAAACTTTCAGAAAATAAAACTTTATAATTACTAGGGATGGGATATTTAGGTACTAAAAACTGAAAAATAGGTAACTAAAAAGGTACTAAAAAAAGCATTTTAGGTTAAAAAAAAAAGCATTTTAGGTTAAAAAAACAGCATTTTAGGTAAAAAAAGCATTAAAAGTTCAAGTTTCTTTTATAATTTTGTTTAGCCGCATACCCAAACACAGAACATAACCACAATAAACTATTTCTATGCAATAAACTGTGTTTCACTTAGTGACACTCACTACACAGAAATTCTATTACAGAACATAAGCTCAATACAAAGAAATACTGTAAAGAAAGTTACTGTTACAGTCTGTGACCCATAGAAATAATTTAGAATAATAGAATAATTTCTATGTGACCATAAGAAAAAATTCTATACCGTTGAGTTGCACGCCCTGGATAAAATATTGGTGGAAAATTTAAAAAGAACACAAAAAAATAATAATAATAATAATAATAAAAATAATAAGTAAAAATACGTAAAAATAGATAACAAATATGTGAAAATAAACTGACAAATTAAAAAATATGTAACAAAAGTATAAAAAGGTAGTTTAAAGCAAAAACCTCCAAAAAAGGTAAAAAAGGTGAAAACTAGTTAAAAAAAAATAGGTAAGAAAAGTATAAAAAAGGTAGTTTAAAGCAAAAACCTCTAAAAAAGGTAAAAAAGGTGAAAACAAGTTAGGTTCATATAAAAGAAAATCTTTTAAAATACATTTTGGCATTATTGGTTTTCAAATAGTTACACCGGTTAAAAAAAGGTAAAATAACTAAAATCCCATCCCTAATAATTACAGTGTATTGTTGATTTCAAAAAAAATTATTTTCTTAATTTTTAAAACCTAATTAGAAAGTAATCTTAAAAAATAATTAAAACAAAATGTTTGGGAGGCGCCACCTACTTTTTAAATTTTACGTCATCGACCTAATGGCGTTTTTTTTCGCAAAAACTGTCTATAAAAATTCACATTTTCAAGACCTTTACCTTAATCCGCAGGGGTAGGATCAAAGTTTGGGTTAAGCTTTTCTTATGAGCCCAAAAAAATGTATGTAAAAAAATAAACCTCATCCAGAGGAGCAGGATCTACCGGAGCACGACTGAGAGCGTCAGGGACAACAATAAACTTACCTTTACGGTGTACCAACTCAAAATCGAATTGTTGTAGTCTGACACTCCAGCGGGCGAGTTTTCCAGCAGGATTTGACAAACGTCGAAGCCGTAACCATGGAGAATGGTCGGTGATAACTAAAAACTTGATTTTTTTTACCCACAAAATCACGAAATTTTTCTACCGGAAAAACAACGGCCAAACATTTCCTTTCACTTACTGAATAGTTTATTTCACTTTTTGACAATGCTATCACTTTCTCCTTATCGTTTCACTAAGCATACATAAAATGCGGTCTACAAACGGCAAAGGATACGAGTCTTTTTTAGTTACTGAATTTAATGTACTGCCATCAAAACAAAATCCAAAATCTCCATTGGCTAAGCAACTATTAGCGAAACAATTGTCAAAATTAAAATAAAGACGATAAACTTAAGAAAACAGTATTTTGTTTTTATACAATATACATTTTATAAAATAATTAATGTAATATTAGAAACATATATGCTATTATTGTTTTTTGTTTTAGGGTTATTTTTGGACGAAGACGACTTAGACAATCAAACAAAATCTATAGCACTACAAAGTGCAATGTACAGAATAAAACTGGTTTCCCAATATCGCATAGAGCCACACTATTATTATTTAAAAAGTACTGATTACTTTAAAACTGAGGAAAAAGGTAAATAAATCATAATTTGTATATTCATTAATCCACAATAAAAAATGTTAAGAGTTTAATAAAATATAAATCCGGGTGTTCTAAAAACGTTATTTATTGGAAAATAAAGCTTCATAAATACTTCCTGAAGAAACATGAGAGATGCGGTTTCTTGATGCACTTGATCCTTAAAAATAACAAACCTAAAAAGACTCAAAATACAATTTACTTGTCACGTTCTTTAATAAATTACTCTCATTTATTATATGAAATTCTCTTTTTTTTCTTTTAACGTGAATATAAATATTTACTAAGTTAACTGAATTTTATTTTTTAGCGTGTAAGTTATTAAAGCAAGGTGTGGCAGCAATTTTTGGTCCTGAATCACCCGAACTAAACGACGTAATTCAATCCATTTCGACAGCATTGGAGATTCCCCATTTCCAGACTCTTTGGAACCCTAAGTCCGGCCCACCCACAGAAAAATTCGGTCAAATATTTAATATGTTTCCTAGTGCAAATACTCTGGCACAGGCTGTAGCCACTCTTATACGGGAGAGCGATTGGAAAACGTATACGATTGTATACGAAGACGAGACTGGATTAATAAGACTTCAGGAAGCTTTAACTAAAAGGGAACCGCTGGATCCGATTATATCGTACAGGAAATTGGGACCAGGACCTGACCACAGGTACCTTAAAATTTGTATTAATTTATTATTTATTAAATTTAATACAGCGCCATACTTATTATTTTATTACTAATAGAACTTTTATATAAATAAGATTTATTATGTACAACTGGAAACAAATTTTAAGGTAGCTTTTGATAATAGTATATTGTTTATCAAGTTTGATAAACGCCAGCTTTCGAGCGAGTGCTTAAATTAATGAGTGTATAGAAAAGTTTATAAACGAGGTGCATACTATAGGTACTTTTTCTACGACAAATACTTATTATTATCTTAAAACAATTTAAATCAAAAATTTGTAAAGAGCGCCATCTATGAAACAATAGGGGAATCTGTGTGTCACCGTCAAATGTCAATTTTTTTTATTTTATAAACACAGATTATAAAGGTTATAAATCGAAATGTATTTCTTGAAAATTGACAGTTTTTCACAGTGAAAGTAAAGAAAATGTTTTATGAGCACTTTACAGAGGAGTCCGTGTCCGAATTTAAGTTATAGTTTACTGCCGGCAAAATTAAAAGGTCAGTACAATGTTCATATAAACTTTTCAAATATTGGCGTTGAGAAACTATTTAATACTTTTGTATTTTTGTATTGAGATAATATAAATTAAATTCGTGTATAAAATGGCGTTTATCAACTTGATACATAATATACTATTATTAGTTAAAAGGGCTAAATGTAGAAAAAATTAAATTCCGAAAAAATATTAATTTTTTAGTTTACTGCCGGCAATATTAAAAGGTTAGTACAATGTTCATATAAACTTTTCAAATATTGGCGTTGAGAATATTGGCGTTGAGAAACTATTTAATACTTTTGTATTTTTGTATTGAGATAATATAAATTAAATTCGTGTATAAAATGGCGTTTATCAAACTTGATACATAATATACTATTATTAGTTAAAAGGGCTAAATGAGGAGCGTTTATCCATTTTAGCGATTTTCAGAAATAAGTCAAAAGCAAAAGAATTCTGTTATTTTTGACTTGTTTCTGCAAATCGCTAAAATGGACATGTCCCTTTTTGAATAAACGCTCCTCAAATACAACATAAAAAGTAAAAAAAAATAACTCTAAAACGCCTTTACAAATCTTTATAAAATTTTGGATAAAAATATTTCAGCAAAATAATCAAAAAAGGCCTTTAAGGGCCCTTAAGGGTCATTTTTACCGACTTTGAAGCGCTGTATCTTACTAAAAAAAATACGGTCTTTAACAGCATATTTTTTATTTACTTAAAACAAATCCCTATAAAAGTTTTTTTTCAAGCGTTTTTTTTAATATTAAATAAAAGGGCTTTAAAAATATTTTCTCGAAAAACCCTCGAACACGTAAACTGAGATATAAGTATTCTCATAGAAAATTCCATAGATTGGTAAAGGCGCTTTAGTTAGTAGAGTTAGAATTTTGTTACTTATTATGCGTTAATTTTAAAGCGCAGTGTAGATGAAAAAACTTGTATTCGCTTGAAAATTAAAAAAAATACAAACATTGTAGAAAATGGATTTTTAGTTTTCGAAGAAAAAAATCAAAGTGTGCCGATATGCCACAGCATCAAAAATATTTATTTTAAATAGCTTGTTCAAGACAACAAAATTGATTGGTCGTTCGTCGAAATCGCTCAATTGGAACCAAAACAATTGACAACCCGTGCGAAAATTAAAATTGAATTTTTACTTTGAGTCAAGGAATTTCGAAATGGCAAGGGTTTTTTTCGTGTCAAATTCACGTGAAATTCCCCAAATATATCCACGTATATAAAAATTCCTATTTGAATAAAAAAAATAAAAATTAAAAGTTATAACGTTTTAAAGACACATTAGTAAAATTAAGAGAAAAAAATCATATAGGCATTTAACTACGATTTCCACGTTGATATCTACATAAGGTTGTTCAGTAAACTTTACTTTATAAGTTCACAAAAAATTAGCTGCATATACGCACATATGGAATTTTTATTTATCGAGCTACATAATTTCATACGTACAGACCTATGTTCATAAGTTTTAGTTGAATTTATTAATTATTATAAATAAATCAACATGTATTACATTTTTTTTAATATTATTAAAAAATATATACAAAGTATAGGTAATTATCCTATACAATTAATAATTAAATACCTATTCATAACAAATTATTATTAAGTTATGCAAAATATATGTTTGCCAATAGGAGTACTTTCTGAGGAAGCTCAAGAATCTAGGAAGAAGGATTTTAAAAAATTTAAATATCATCTGACCCCCTAATCAGGTTACTTAGGAGAAATATAAAATTTGTAAAATATGAGCTTGATTAAGAATTATTAATGGAATATTTTTACCGCGAACGAACATCTTAAAAAGGCATTTAAAAAATAAAGACCATTATTTTTTTATTAAAATATAGTTAATTATACGTAATAAATCTTATTTAACAAAACAATATCGGGTTACACTGTTCGAAATTTCATGACCATTTTAACACCAAATTAACACCATACATGGTCTATATCGATACAAACCAAAATGTTGTTAAATATGGTTCGTTGGTCCAGTATAAAATTAAATACTACAATGGTGTAAATTTAACTTTCACACAGTATTAAAATAAATTTTACCTGGAGTAAATTGAACTCCTTTTCAGTGTAAAATATTATGTGTTTTTGGTCAAATTTATCATACTACACAAAAAAAAAAGAAAAAAAAAGGAAACAGGAAGTTCCTTGACGCATTACAAGTACCTATATTACCAGTGGTATTATTCCAGAAAATTGAACCTTCAACTCGCTAGAGATAACGTTTTTAGTGCGTTCCACCAACTTAAAATACTTCAAGTATTGACAGCTGTTTCCACCTATTTAAGGTCTCTTTAGTATCAAACAACTTGTAGTGTCACACCAAAGGAAAGGACTACCTGATCTTATATACTCTTCATGTAAGTCAACAGAGGCGAGATTTAAGAACATCACTTGATCCACACCGCCTTTGCCGCGATCGCTACACACTATGCAACCAGGAACCATAATTCATGGTGTTTATATTAACACCACTTGGTGTTGGATTTTGACACCATTTTAAGATTACTCTTTACACCACAGGTATTTTAAATAGTGTATTTCCACAATTGACGCTCTATGAACATCTAAAAATGCGTTTAAAAATTAAAAACCTTTATGTTTTTATTGAAATATAGTTAATTATGGGTAATAATCCTTACATAATACAGTTTATTTTTAATAAAAAAGTTTGTTAATTATTTCTGCAAAACAGTGCTTTATGACAACCAAAAACCTTTAAAATTTTCGATTAAAATATAGTTAAAATTAACTATATTTTAATCGAAAATTTTAAACCCAGTAGACACTCCAACTTTTTGAATAAAAAAAAAATACACTTTTTGATAAATTAAGTTTTGAAAAAATTCTGTACTTTTCCTTTTTTATCGTATAAAAAATTATTACAATTAATTTAAATTTTTTGTTAGGTACCTTTAATGGAAAGTGTTAATCAGTACAAGCATTTTGCAAGTTCAATGGTCAAAATCGGTCAATTACGTTATACGCATTTAAAAAAATCGATTTTTACCGCAAAAAAATAAATCGACAAATATAAAAAAAAAGTTCGCCAAAAAAAAATACGTTTCTCATTATTTCGACGGAAAAACAATATATTTAAGCTTCATAGAAAAATAAATCATGACCTGCGCGTAACGGTCGTTTTGAAATGGAAATAGCCCTTATGTAATTTGTCATCAAGAAATCCACTTAAAGTCTGAGAACCCCGAGGATCTTAATATTAAAACCGTAAGGTCTATGGTGACTATACCAGACTAAAAGAGGCAAGAGCTGATAGCCTAAAAGCGTAATAGCAGTAAAAGACATAATTAAAGCCTATTATTGGATGGATGGATATTCAAAAGAATCCAACTAATAGTAACAAAAATACAGATATATATTTATATACTAGACAAGAATATTACACAAACCTGAATTATTAAAATACAAAAGATTGTGCATGAAGGCACTATATTTGGTCCTTTAATTTTTAACTTATATGTACATCAATACTATGCCTCACTACATAAAAAATTGTTAGGTGCATAAGCATATTATGCATTTCATAACCATACATATGGGTTTCAGTGTACTAATAATGACCTTTACACATTGGCTATTTGAAAATAATTTATGTTTAAATTTTAAACACATGATTAATAATTCTTTTATCTGTCTATAATAAACATTTAAAAGTCTATTATAAATTTTGGGACCTAACAAAAACTTGAAAATGTTTCTATAATATATTACTATTATTGTTATTATTGGGTTTTATTACAATTTGATTGATATGGATACACCGCAGTAAAGTTTTATAAAATTTGCAAGTTAGATTTGCAGGCAAAGTTTATTTATCAGGCAGCTGTTAAAATTGTATTTGTTTTTGCACTGGTGAACAAACAATTTAAGCATTTTATGAAACCTAAACCTTTTCATAGAGTTATTATTTCAAAAGTATGATTTACCTTTTTCGAGTTGTAGGTATGCATAAAGCATTCATATTTTATGAATCGTTTTTCATTTGGCCGACCCAAAATGGAAATCAAGGGTTTACAAATTTTATATTAAAACGTAAAATATCGTGCGAGAGATAACGTTAATAAATAAATGAAATGTGGTTTTGAATTTTTAAACTAAATTATCGTTTAGTTACATTTTGTTAATTTTAAATAAAAAATTTGTTTGTCATGCAGATATCAACGTGAAAATCGGAGGCAATCATAATTAAATGCCTATATGAATTTTTTTCTATAATTTTACCAATGTGTCTTTAAAACGTTACAATTTTTAATTTTTTTATTCAAATAGAAATTTTTATATATGTAGATTAAGATGTATTTTAAACCTATTTAAAAAAAATATTTTTTTTTGTTCGATTAAAAGATATACCTAGTTTATTAAATGTGTGCGTAATGTTTAACCAATTTTACTGTTTTAAAAACATTCTACTTTGAGGTATCATAAAATCAAAACCTAATTATTTACAAATATTTTTTTACAAAAAACTGTTGCTTTTTAAGATGTTTTTAACAAATTATCGTCACAAAAATACCCATAATAAAATGTTTTTAAAAATGTATTTTTTCCGCCGATAAACCATAGTGCGTCGTTCAAGGGTCATGAGTGAATATTTGTCAAAAAATCAAATTGTTTTCAAGGATTCAAAATTCCATAAAAAACAGTTATTATGGTAACAAAAATACAAGGTATCCAAAGCGACTTTAATTAAAGATTGACAGATGTATTTTCTAATAGTCCCAGAAAACATAAACTTTAAATCATTATGCAGGCATTTCCTGGTAAGTGTCAACTTTAATTTCAATACCTTTATTATTAAACGTGTTTTGACTTCAAATTTTAAAAAAAACGTCCTTTCGTTTTTTTATGATTATTAATTATTTTGATCGATTTTTTTTATTGGGTTAGCTATTTTCATGAAATAATCAGTTAAAATTTTTTCGTTGATGGAGAGTATCCGAAATATCTTGGATTATTTTTGAGCACAATCACAGTTTTTTTAAAAGGTGCATTTTACGTCCCATCCGTAAGAGTTTAAATAACATTTTCTATACAAATTAGAGGGATATATTTGAATTTTTACATTACTGAATTTTTTGTGAATGTTTTTTTTTCAAAGAACCCGAACGGTTCATCAAAACTTATCATTTTTTATATACAAATTTTCATTGAAAAATAACCTTTACTATAAAACGATAAAGATTAATTAAATTGGATTACTTTAACCTTATTAGAAAAGAAAAATAAACATTAAGAATAAAATTTATGAAAATACTAGAACAGAAACTTTGCATGGTTTGTATTAAATTAATTTTCCTCATTTTGTATATGCTTTAATATACTTTAAGTAGATAAATATAATAACCTTTAAAAGCTGCCAGGGGCAACGTTATCAAATTAAATTTTGCAGAATGAGTAAACAATTAAATTTATTTATCGTATTAAATTCAGTCAATGTTTTTATAACCCTTAAATGATTTTATAACCCTTAAATAAAATATGTATTATGTAAAGCTTCTTGTTTTATAAATTCTATAAACGAAACTGTTTGGGTATAGTTTATATTTTACGAAATGTTGGGGTCATCATTACCTCCATTTTAAGCCAAATGAACCATTACATTTTGCCCTGTTTCCATCCCCTATTTTATTTAAACAATATTTTGCTTTATTATTGCAGAAAAAAAGTGATATTTTAACTCAACAATGCTCATGAGGCTATTGAATTTTATAGAAAAAAAATTGTCGATTTTTGTTAATCAGTTTATATACTGCAGTATAAAATAATCAGTTTTACATACTAAAAGCAGCTAGCAGCTAAACAAAACATTTTTTATTAAGTTGAGTTAAGTCAAATTATTTTAAACCAAGAAATATGTGGGCCTGCATTGTACAAATCTTTTCGGGACATTTATTTTTATTTATGCTATTTATTTATTTTTTATTATTTTTGACGTAAGAATTTCTTGTATTGTTTGTTAATAAAATGTATTTCTTTTATATTTTATTTATGTTAGTTTTTTTGGTCAAATAAAAATCCTTTTTTATTCCAATCCAAGTGAATCAATTTAAAAAGCCTTTTATAGATATACATATATACATACATGTATATAATTATTGATAGGTCCCCAAAAAATTTTATCACAGGGCCCCCAAAGTTAACGGTTCGCCCCTGAGTGTAATTCATTAAGTTGAAGTGACTTTTTCAACTAATTCTATTTTTATTTTTAGATCCATACTAAAAGAAATTAAAAACTCTGGGGAGTCTCAAATAATTTTGGATTGTAAGATTGACAATATAATAAATATATTGAAGCAAGCTAAGGAAGTTAACTTACTTGAAGAGTATCATAGTTATATACTAACGAACTTGGTAAGTTGTTTTGAATTTTGTAGTATGTCAAACAGATTATAAACCCACATGTCAAATTTCACAATATGCATTACACAGTCATAACCATAATTATTCGGAATTAATTCAAAATCATTTTTAACATGTCTCACGATAAACCCCAGCGATGTCCCAAAACTAATACTCTCATAACACCCATTGGGGAGCCCACCAGAGCAACTTGTTACGGCATAAGACAGCCAAGAGTACCAATACCAATATGCAGACCAAAACCAAAGCAAATTCGAGTTTGTACTGGAGCAGATCTCAAAAAAATGTGCGCGCCAAAATTGTGCATATGTGATAAAGGAGTAAAAAAAGGAGGAGGTTTTCTAAGATTTTTATTATTTGGCCTTAAATCTGCAATAGCACTTGGAGCTGTATATGTATCTTACGATATGGGTATATGGGGCACGAATGATGACTCACAGGAATTTTACACAAACACTTGTACTATGCTGGGACCTGCAATATTTACACCTAGACCATTAAACAACAAATGGGACCCTCCTTCCTGTTTAGAATCAAGAGACATGTTTAGACTTACCAAAATTAATAGTTATGGTTGTTATGATCCTCCCTGCAGTATTAACAGAATTTTGTTTAAAATGGAAAACTATTGGAATCATGGAATAGGTTGTGTATTTTCTACCATAACAACTGTATCGATAAATATAAAAAAGGCGTTAGTACCTTCTCCAAAAATCAAACAAATTGTTGTATTTGAACCAGATGAGGATAAAGTTGATGAACAAGAAAATAAAGACACCGATGTAGATTCAGAAAATGTAGTTATAGAAGATCTTGAAGAAGGTCAGGATATAGTAATTGTTGAAGAAGAATACGAAACTGAAAATGATCTTAATGATGATAAAAAAGATCAAGAAACAACAGACAATAGTACGCCTGAAGAAGGTTCAGTAACTGTTGAAGATGATGAATCTAAAAAAGATTTAAAAGACGACAATAATGCGCCTGAAAAAGATGCACAGAATCCAGATAAACCTAAGAAAAAAACAGAAAAAGATGACCAAGCTAATAAACCCGAAGAAAAATCCAAGGTTCCTGATCAATGTCCTGTATACGTAAAGCCACCAACTTGTTCTAAAAGAAAAAAACATAAAAAAGAAGTAGTGGAGGAAGTAGTAGAGGAAGAAGAAGAAGAAGAAGAAGAGGAGGAGGAAATGGAAGAAGAGGTTGTGGAAGAACCAGTGGAAGAAGACGATAAATGTGCTGGTGATGCTGGCAAAGACGATTACTGCAATTGCGGTGTTAAAGTAAAAGTAATAACATACGAGAACGGTGAAAGAAAATTAGAATATGAGGTTAGGCATAATAAAGAAGAAGAAGAAGTCGTAGTTAAATCAGAGGATAATAATATCATTAATGTTGAAAATCCTGATATAGAAGTAACAACCATATCAAATGAAAATGGCGAAAAAAAATTACAATTTAAAGTTATCAATAGCAACCAATAAATATTTGTAAATATACTTGGATAAATAAATTAAAATTATCATAAATAATATTTCTTTTTGTTTTAAATAATAAAATATAATTTATTTAAATCGTTTAGGTTGATTGCAAGAAATCCCAAAGTAAAAAATATAAAAAATCCGATTAAAATTTAGAAAACATTGTTATAAAAAAGAACCTTGTTGTTATCCAAATTTAAACACATAGTCTCTTTTTTACTTCGTGCTAGGTCTAGAAAAAAATGTACCTAGACCAACGTTTTATCTAAAGTCACAATCAAATGCAATAACTAATTTAATATAATGATGCATACTTGCATCGGGAAAATGAAGTGGTCGATAGAAGTTGCAAAAAAAAGAAGAAAATTGTATGTTAACTTGTATGCTTTAAAGCTTTGATTTCGAGATACACGGTGTTTAAATTAATAATAAAGGTATGCTCACGTCATTGCTTTTTTATGAGATTGATATTATATTTAGATTAAGCAATTAAAAATTAAACTTTTTGTCTTTTGAATTTTTTTGCATAAGTTTTTCAGGGGCGAGCAAATAAACGAAAATTAATAGTTATGGTTGTTATGATCCTCCCTGCAGTATTAACAGAATTTTGTTTAAAATGGAAAACTATTGGAATCATGGAATAGGTTGTGTATTTTCTACCATAACAACTGTATCGATAAATAAAAAAAAGGCGTTAGTAGGTACTTTCTCCAAAAATCAAACAAATTGTTGTATTTGAACCAGATGAGGATAAAGTCAAATACCCATATGAATAAAATTTTATGTTTTTGAGTACAAGAAAGTCGATTTAATAAGCAATCTAAAAATAAGCCATTTAATGGCCTCTTTTAACTGTATTTTGTTATTTTGGGACATCCAGTATAAATAAAAAGTATTTACTCTCTTATCAAAACATAATTTTCCATTTTCTAATTTGTTGTATTTTAAAGCAATATATGGTTTTTAGGATGCACACACACTGAACTGGAAGGAATTTGAAAACATTCGAACTAACATTACGGCCATTAGGCTCATAGATCCAAATAGTAGTGGTATAAAAGATGTAATACGCGATTGGCACCTTACTGAAGAAAACCAACAGTACACAAAATATGAAATTGGTGCAGAATCTGTGAGAGTAAGTGCTTATAGATTTACCTACTCAAAATGTTTCGTAAAATTACTTTAAAACAAAACAAAATTAATTATTATAAAAAAAAATGTATGTTTCAAATTTTCGTTAATTTTAACTTTTAGTTCTTTAATGGGTAATTAATTAAAATATATATTTTTAACTAAAAAATAAAAGCAATAGGCCTAAGAAAAACAAATTATTTAATTTAGTTTATTTAATTACCTATTTCTTCGTTATTTTAACAATTATAATCAATTTATAAAACAATATTACGTAGTACAAACAACACGCTGTTTAAGGCCTGTACAATACTACTCTCTAAAAATGAATTAGTCAAAAATTACTAATTTAATAGTTATTAGTGGCTGCTTTTTCACTTGTACCATGGTTATCCATGGAATACCATGGTGTCCCAAAATTTAACAGCCAATTCTTATGTAAAATTTTTCCCTGAATCCGAAAATACAGTCAAAAATTATGAAAGTGGAGCAGTTTTTGATTCCATAATAAATTGAAAATTGATATATCTCAAAAACTGTTCTACTTTTTTAACTTTTGAAGGTATTTTCGGATTCAGGGGTCAATTTTACATAAGAATAGGTTGTTAAATTTTGGGATACCATGGTATTCCATGGTTAACCATGGTACAAGTGAAAAAGCAGTCTCTAATAACTATTAAATTAGTCATTAGAGACTAATTCATTTTTAGAGAGTAAATACTAAGACCGTTGTCAAATCAAATTATTCCCGACCCATTTGCCATTTTGTGAAATTTTTGTTTTATTGAAAATATGATAATTTTTATTATACGTTTAGGTATATAGGTATTAGGGCAGCCTAAAAAGTAAGGTAAATGACTGAAAACAAGACATTTTTTCGTATTTATTTTTCAACTCAACTCAATACACTTGCGATTTTCAAATCTATTAAGGCCCTTAGTATAATACGATAAAACTTCTTAAAATAAGCATTTGTTTTATCGATTGCCTACTGATTTAATATTTAAATATTTTATGTCCGTGAATAATTTCGGTTTTACCGATTATTGTAAAAAAATTTAAATATTCTGATTTGTAATTGGCTTATGCATATTATTTACTTTGATGGTAAATATCCCCATATTGATTTATTCTACTGCATTTATTTTACTACCGTTAAATCAACAAGCGGATAATGTTAAACATGCGTTATGTGCGTCGTTTGTGTTTTATTTTGACGACTGAAATGGAATGCCGTAATTATTTAAATGAAAACGAATAACACGTAACCAAAATGGTCAACAAACCAAAAACATGTAAAAAACTAACAAAAAATAAATGTTTTATAAATAGTTTTTGTTTAAAAATGGCCGGGGTTAATAATTAACCCCGAATTATTCTAATACAGAATTTTTTTGTTTTCTCTATAAATTTCAACTTAATTAAAATAATAGGTTTTTGCTTGGATAGATAAATAAATGTTCTGCAACTTTTGAGTAACCAAATGTTTACAAGTACATTTGAGTTACCATATAAAATTATCATAGAAAATGTCACCCATAGAATTGTATATTCTGTAACAAGTTTGGTATATGCAATTCCAAACGTGTTTCAGACTTTACTTTTTCTACGTTTCCAAAAATATCCATAGAATAATAATTTAATTGGGAGAAAGTGAGGTTGGATCGGTCTAAAATTTGTTGGATAATAAACACAGAGATGTCGCCACCAGTATTTATTCCGTCATCCGAGTCCTTCGGAGGGGACTTTAAGCCCACGGTCCGTTCCTACCCCTAACCCACACAAACCATTCAGTTGGCTTCTGGGACTTCTTAGGAAGTAAGAGTGGAACTAAAAGAGCAAAAAAAAATCCTTAAAGATTCTGAACTAAATATACAAGAAAAAACAGGACGATTTATTTTTGTAAGGCGCGTTTTCACTGTAAGTCAAGTTTAGTTGAATTGTTATAGTTGATCAACAAAAGTTAAAAAAATGTGACTTGAATTTATTTTTGTTTAAACATTTAAATAAAATTATTCAACGATTTCAGCATTTGAGCACTTTTGTAAAAAGGGATAGAAATGTTAATATTAAATAAATTATTTATATATTACATTAATTCTTACAAAATTGTTAGGATCACACTTTTGGTAATTTTTTTATTTATTTAATAGGTATAAAACCCAAAACAAGTCAACGTGTCTACTTAAAACACATAATAAACTTGACGTGCGCACTTTTTTTAAAAAAGATTTTAGCCAAAAAAAATACTAACTTGAACGATAAAGTTTGACTGGTTAAAACTTTTCTGGATCCACTAAATAACTCGGTCAACTAAACTTAACCAGTGAGAACTTTCCTTTAGTTCTTTTTATATCACAACATAGTCGTTGTTTATTAAATATATCGAGAAATTAAAAAAAAATATGTAATAAAAATATGATTTGCCTTATCCCGATCATTGTTAAAACCAAGAATCTTGTCGATTATGAAGAATAAATTACCTATCTGAAAACAAAATTTAAATAAAATCTGTTAAACAAATTTACCACTACTAACTACTAAGATGTTGAAATACATTAATATGTATAAAATTTACATTTTTTGATACAGCCCGAGAATGTTTACCATTATGACGTAAGAAAATGCAAATACAATGCAATAATACATGTTCTTTTTCAAACGTCAGAAAATGAAACTTTTGTGACATTTCAAAGTATGTTAAAGTTTCACTTTATTGCCATGGCAGTAAATTACTTTTATCTTTATTATTGTCAACGATCAAAGTATTCAATTATCTCCCAAATTGTAATAATAATCAGGTGAAGTTTTTTACATTCTAGTCTGTAAAAAACCTAACTTTATACTTTTATTAAATGTTATTATTATTATAAGTACGTTTTATGTATAGTTTAACTATAGTTTAACAAATGCCTTGAACTGTTGTATGCCATTCAGCTGATATGTGTCTTTTTGTGCTTCGCTCATGTAGAACTTCGCTAACGCGTCAGACTTAAAACTTTGAGCTTAGCACAAATAGACTCGCTTCCCAGCATTCTGACATAAATAACTATTTCAGTCGATGATGAGCGGCATTAAAAGTGCCTCTCAAAGATAATACCAAAATAGCTTTTAAATTAATGCTATTTTTAGCAAAATTAAAAACGAAAAATTATTTATTGTCGCACAAATTTTAAAAAATTGTAAAAGCTGCTGCATTTAGTGTTGACGGTTTAGTTGGCATTAAATTATCGGTGAAAGATATGGCGGCGTCCGCTATTTCAGGGGGACTACCTATCATGAAATCTTCGTCTCACTTATTAATATTGCTGCAAGAAGTAAGTTTTAGTAAAAAAGTCAATAAACCCATAATCAAAAAAATATTCAAGAGCAAACAAAATGTCACCCCAAGTTTCGTTGCTAAAATTCACAACTACTTATTTTTATCTGTGGTCTAGATCAATTGAAAATGGATTTATATGGAAATATTTTATATATTTGAAAAAAAAATGTATATTTTATGCGGACTCCCAGGCTCGTCCGTCAAACCATACAGACACAAAAAGTGAGACCTTAGCTATTTTGCCCTTCCTTAATATTATATAGGTAGCCAGTTTCCGTTAATTTGTAAATATTTGTATCGGAATGTATAGTGTTTCTATAGGGTGTATCGGTATGTGTAGGACCCATAGTTGGGATCCACTCTTGATTTATTTGCTATTGGTTTCAATGGGGAAAATACACATAAATGTAGAAATTAGTTTTTCCCCCATAGGATTTAATAAAATTTTGTCAAATGTTTTATGGTTGCTCTATAGGGATATCCCTATATATCCTTCATTGAAATATTTGTTATCGGTCTCAATAGGAAAAATGTAAAAGTTATGGTGTGCCTAGTAGACCAGTGCCTTTAAAAATGGTAAAAAGAGAAAAAAAATAACAGTAGGATGAAACCCATTGGAAAAGGAGGGGAATATAATAAAAATTAAAGGAAAAATAAATTACGGGCGATCTGAGTTCGGGAAGTGGATGGGGTTTAAGGGTAAAAAATGGTTTATCTAGATTTCCGGCAAAACTTCAAGTCCTATGGAAAAAAGTTAAATGTTAAAGTTGTAGGTAATAAAAAGATCTACAACTTTTGTATTTACAATTTTTTCACATAACCTCAAAATTTATGTGAAAAATTCAAAAAACCAAGTTTTTGGTTTTTTATTTTTATCTTTTTCAAAAAAAAAAAATTTTTCCACGAAATTTGGTGAAATCTTACCTTTTTATGTCCCAAATACACTGTAATTTATTTGATTTGAAATATTTATTATTTCGCCTTATTTTGACTTAATATCAAAAAAGCACCCTAATTTTCAATCGAAAATTCTCGCGTCAAAATATCAGCTTTTTTCAAAAAGTCGGTGTGCTTTTTGTTCGATGAACTCTCTACTTTCTGATGGTGTAAAAAAAATATACATTACTATGGTAAATGTTCTCAGAAAATACAAAAAATATTATAATGAATAACGTAATCAGAATGAAGTATCATACTATGATTTACATGTATTTTTATATTTTATGAAATTTTCTGGCATAAATGTTATTAGAATTTAATAAATAAACTTTTTAACTAAAAACAATTGCAACAATCACATTTTTTTATGAAATTGTACATAATGATTAAAATAAATTTTTGAATTCAAGTTTTTTTCCTTATTCATTATAATATTTTTTGCATTTTCTGAGAACATTTACCATAGTAATGTATATTTTTTTACACCATCAGAAAGTAGAGATTTCAACAAACAAAAAGCACACAGACTTTTTGAAAAAAGCTGATATTTTGACGCGAGAATTTTCGATTGAAAATTAGGGTGCTTTTTTGATATTAAGTCAAAATAAGGCGAAATAATAAATGTTTCAAATTAAATAAATTACAGTGTATTTGGGACATAAAAAGGTAAGTTTTTACCAAATTTCGTGGAAAGAAATTTTTTTTTGAAAAATATAAAAATAAAAAACCAAAAACTTGGTCTT